GAGATTCTCTCCTATGAGGGGTTACTCTAGATCTCTAGGGTTACTGAAGTAAATTATTTCTATTAGACTTCCAACTCGAATTTAGATTCCCAGGTTTTGACTAGAACTTTTCTGGCCTTCTAGAATTAACGTATGTGACAAATCTATATGTTTTCTGTTGCTGTTCTTAAGGTACTCTTCTGTGAATGTGCTGAAATCTTTATAGAGTTTCATAGATTTTAAGGTTTTATAGGTGGAGAATTAGTATGTAAATTTGATTGACATAGCTTTTATCCTATAAAGTTGTTGCTAGGATAACCTCTGCCACTTTTCAGTTTTGGTTTGTGGATGTAGTTTTTGTAGGTATATGGGTTTTAGATCCTATCTCTTAAAGCTGGAGGGACAAGGGTAAGTCTACTAAAAGAGAAATGTTTTGAGGATATGTTACAGATAAGAAATTCTACTTTTTGCTTTTTATTTTTTTTTATGAACAGTACTTTTGAATGTTTTATGTAAGCACAGTACTGTGAATGTTATCATAGAAGTTTAAATCTTAGGCCTTGCACTCATTTACATCTTCTTGGTGAAAGATGAAATCTCATATGTGAAATCACAGTAAATGGCATAAGATAAAAAAAATAGCATAAGACCATATGTAGTTAGGTGTCAGATTGAAGAGCTGTTGACAGGAGAGGAGGCTCAGTGAGGGGAGGGCCAGAGTGTTCCTTAAGGAATGTGTTTTGTTAAGGTGTAAAGTATATATTAGGAAACAGCATGACTAAAGATATAACAAGAATTAGTCTTTTGGGCATGCTTTGGATTGAAGGGTTTATTTGTGGGGGGGGGATAGTTACATTTGATAATGTGGGGCAAGATTAGCATAAGGTGGGACGAGAAAAGAATAGGTCATCTATGTTGGGAGAAGCACAAAATTCAAAGTGAGAAACCATGAGATCTGAGAGAGAGAACAAGCATAGAGCAAGAGATTGAAGATTCTGGTTTCTGGCTCTGTGGATATTCTTCTTCTATTATTCTAGTATTTCTGTGGTACCTGCCTTTCTTGAGACCATATCCAGTTTTTTTCCCAGGAAAAAGAGTACAGCCTTTGGTGTCAGACTTTTGGTGGTAGAATTTTGGCTCTGTCCTTTACTAACTTGTGACCTTGTGCAAGTTGTTCAGCTTCTCTGTCTCTGTCCTCATCTGTAAAATGAGCATCATTATTATCTTTCTTTCTAGGGCTGATATGAAGATTAACTGAGATGACATAAAACTTTTGGAACAATGCTAAGCATATAACAAATGTTTTAGTAAATAGCATCATATATGTATGACATCGTATATACATACACTTAATATCTACATGACATATATATGATGCTAATTGAGGTAACATGAATTAATTTCTTATAGCTAAAAATGCCTAAGGAGTTAATTTGCTTGTACCTTCACTTAGAATAGGGCAACCCAGTGTGTGAACTGGGCATGAAATATTTTAGGTAGTGTATAGAGCGTTAAAAAAATATTGTCTTATGTAGTTTGAATAATAGGACCTGGTATTTATTTATTAAGGATTTAAAAGAGGCTTGGTGCTGTTCTAAACATTTTACCTTTATTAACTCATTGGATCATTGTGATAAACTGGTGAAGTATAGGTACTGTTATTTTCTTCATTTTCAAGAGGTAGAAACAGAAAGGCTAACCATCTTGCTGAAGGTTATATATAATACATAAGTGGCAGAACTAGGATTGGAACACAGGGTAAAATTGTTGAGTTTTAATTTTTTATGGGAGTATGGTTTTATTTAAAAAAATTATATGCTCCAAAATATTTTACTTGGAAATCTTCACTAGAAGTAAGAAAACAAAAAACAATAAAGAACACCAGCATGAATACATAATACATACTTTAATTATGGATGCATTAAGTGTATTTTAATAGAATACTTCCTAACATGTTATCTCATATTGTGTTTAAAAAAAAAATACAAGGAAGTGACACTAGAGAACTACAGAATCCTGGATTCTGTTGCAGATAGGGTATCTTTACTAGAGCCAGAAAAGGAGCCCTGGAAGGTGGCAAGAAAAAAGTGACAAGCAGTCTACAACTAGCATGTGATCCAATTGTGTGTTTTTAAAAACTGCCATTAAAATGAGGCTGAGAATACGTTTAGACACAGTTTCCACTTCAGTGAACATCACAGAATCCACAGTGGGAGGGTAAAGGTAAGAATGTAATTTTATTGTGCAGTTTTAGCCATAAGTCTCCCCTCAGTTTCCTGTATGCAAAGACATGAGGGAAAGTCTTGTCATGATTGAAACATAATCAGCATCAAACAATTCATAGTAGCCAGAAACCTTATAAAGGCCACAAAGCAGATAAGCCTTTAAGTTTCAAAGCCTACCTAACATAAAAAAAATCACACTGGGAAAGAAACACAAATTTAAGGATTATTTAAAAAAATCCTTTAACAGTTTTAGTAACCTTCAGAGATACAGAGTTTTAATCTTTAAATGTCTATTTCCTTCTTGTTTCTTATTTCCCTTTATAATTTTTAACATTTATTTATTTTTGAGACACAGAGCATGAGTGGGGAGGGGCAGAGAGAGCAGGAGACACAGAATCCGAAGCAGGCTCCAGGCTCTGAGCTGTCAGCACAGAGCCCGATGTGGGGCTCTAACCCACAGACTGTGAGATCGTAATCGAGCTTAAGTCGGATGCTTAACTGAGCCACCCAGGAGCCCCTCTTATTTACCTTTCTAAATGAAACCAAGGAGGTCTCAATTTCTTGTCACTATTTCTTTTACACTTTTCTAATGCTTGTCTCCCATTTTGTCAGGTACAGAGATACGGCATTAGGTAGTATACTGTTATAAGATTTTTTATACAGCACTTGAAGGTAGATTATGGTAAGTTAAAGGATATATACGATGAATCCTAAAGCAATTCTATTTTCAAAAGAGTTATAGGTAATCCAACAAAGGAGATAAAATGGCATCAGAAAATAGTTATTTAATTTTAAAAAAAGGCATAAAAAGGGGAAAAAAGGTACATGGAACACATAGAAACAAATAGCAAGATAACAAATGTAAACCTAACTATATCAATAATCACATCAAATGTAAGTGGTCTAAAAACACCAGTTAAAAGGCAGAGATTGGGAGGTTAGATAAAACAGCTAGACCTAACTATATATTCTTGTCTATAAGAAGCATACTTTAAAAATAAAAGTACAGATAGCTTAAAAGAATGGAAAAAATATGCCATACTTAAAATAGTCAAAAGAAAGATAGAATGGCTATATTAATATAGACAAAGTAGACTTCAGAGTAAAGGATATTTCCAAGGATAAAAGATATCATTACGTAATGATAAAGAAATTGGTTAGTTAAGAGGACATAACACTTCTAAACATTTTTTGCCTCTAATAAGAGAATTTCAGAAATTCTCTTGATGGAACTCCAAAGAGAAATAGTCAAATTCTTTATTTTAGTTAGAGATCTCAGTACCTTTCTCTGAGTACTGAAAATCAAAAACATAGGGAAGTCTTGAACAATAGTGTCAACCAACTTGACCTAATTAACATTTATAGAATATTCCACCTAACAGTAGCAGAGTATTCTCAATTCTTCTTAAGTACATTTTCCATGATGGGCCATAATACAAATCTCAGTAATTTAAAAGGATTGAAAACTTATGTTCTCTGGTCACAGTGAAATTAAATTAGAAATAATTGTTAGCAGAAAACTCTGGAAAATTTACTAATACTTGGAAACTAATACAGTGCTGAATAGCTGATGGCTTAAAGAATAGATCAAAAGGAAATTATAAAGTATTTTGTACTAAATGAAAACAAAACATGAGAATTTGTGAGCTGCCAATAAAGGGAATCTATAGTACTGAATGCCTATATTAGAAAAGGAAAAAGATCTCAAATTAATGATCCTCACTTCCACCTTAAGAAATTAAAAAAAAAATTAAACCAGAGTAATTGCAAGAAAATGGTAAAAGTTCAGTGTGGGAAAATGTATAAAAAATAGGAAAACTATAGACAAAATCAGTGATACCAAAAACTGTCCCTTTGGGAATTTCTGAACAATAAATAAAGCCCTAACCGGACTGGTTAGTATCAGGAATGACAGAGGTGACATCACTACAGATTCTACAGACAATAAAAGGATAATAAGGATTATTATAAGGATTTATAAGCAGCATTATGCTTATAAATTTTACAACACAAATGAAGTGGACAAATTCTTCAAAAGACACACACACTACACTCAAGAAGAAGGAATTGACAACTTGAATAGACTTGTATCTATGAAAGGAAATGATTCTATTAAAGTATTCCTACCAAAAAACCCTTAGACCCAGATGGCTTCTAAATTCTAAATTTAGAATTTAGTGAATTCTAAATATTTAAGGAATAGATTATATTAGTTTAAAACAAAGACTTTCAGAATGTTGCAGAGAAAGGAATACTTCCTAACTAACTTTGTGAGGCCGGCATTACCCTTATATTCAAACTAGACAAAGACATTAGGAGAAAAGAAGACTACACAGAAATACATGCAAAAATTCTAAACTAATTATAGCAAATCATATGTAGCCATTTGTAAAACAAAGCAAAACATCATGACCAAGTGATGTTTTTTCCAGGAATTCAGGGTTAGTTTAGTATTTAAAAAGCAATCAGTATAATTCACTGTTAACTAACTGAAAAAGAAAACCATAGGATTATCTCAGTAAATGCAGAAAGGAAAAAGCATTTGATAATCTTACTTCCATTCCAGATAAGTAACTCTGAGCAAACTCTGAAAAAACTACAGATACTGTAACTTTAATGGTGGAAGACCAGATGCTTTTTCCTTAAGACCTAGAACAAGTCAAGATTGTCTACTCTGACTCTTCTATTCCATAGTATCCTGCAGGTTGTTGGCATTGTAGTCAAGCAAAAAAACAAAAGGCATCTAGAATGGAAAGGAGGAAGTAAAAGGTTGTTTGTTTTTTGTTTTTTTTTCAGATGACTGGACTGTAGAAACTCTGTTGGAACCTATAAAACTCCTAAAACTAGTAAGTAAGTTTAGTAAAGTTGCAGGATATGGGATCAATATACATATCAATTATACTTCATAGACTAGCAACAAACAGAAATTCAAATTTAATAAAATCAGTACCATTGGCCATAGCAACATGTATGAAATATTGAGAACTACACAATATTGCTGAAGAAAATTAAAGAATCCTTAGATATTTGGGGAGGTATTCCTTGTTTATGGGTTTGGAAGACTCATTGTTGCTAAGATGACAGCTCTCACCAAATAGATCTGTTGGTTTAGTGCAGTCTCATTCCCAAGTCTTAGCAGGTTTTTATATATATATAGAAATCAACATTTTGATTCTAAAATTCGTGTAAAAATGAAAAGGACCTAAATAAAATAGCAGAAAAAAAGAACTTTTAAAAAGAAGAACAAAATTGGAGAGTTAATACTACCTGATATCACAATCACTATACAGCTAAAGCAATCAAAACAGTATAGTGTTGGTGTATATATAGAGAAATAGATCAGTGGGATAGAAAAGTCCAGAAATAAGCCAATGTATACTTATAGACAACTGAATTTTAATAAAGTACAAAGGCAGTTGAGTGAAGAAAGGATAGCTTGTTTGACATATCATTCTGGCACAGTTGGATATCCATATATACAAGCACATGAACTTCATCTGTATCTTGCCTACAAAAGTTAACTCAAAATGAATCATAGACCTAAATATAAAAACCTAAAATTATAAAACTTTTAGACAAAAACACGAGAAAAATCTTTGTGATCTTGAGTTAGGCAAATATTTTTATTATTTTTTTAAGTTTATTTTTGAGGGAGAGAGAACCAGTGGGGGAGCAGAAGAGAGAGGTGGGGACAGAGGATCTGAAGTGGGCTCTGTGCTGACAGCAGAGAGCCCAGTGTGGGGCTCCAACTTATGAACCATGAGATCCTGATGTGAGCTAAAGTCGGAAGTTTAACTGACTGAGCCAACCAGGCATCCCCAAGGCAAATATTTTTAAATGTAACACCAAAAGCATGATTCATAAAACAACACATTGATAAAATGAACTTTGTCAAATTAAAAATGTGTGTGTTCTTCACAAAGTATTAAGAGAATGAAAAGACAAGCTGTAAGGTGGGAGAAAATATTTGCAAATCAGTTGTGTAAGGATTTATATGTAGGATATGTAAAGAACTCTCAAAATATTTATATTACATTTATAATATTAGTCATTAGCAAAAAGCAGATTAGAATCGTAGGTGAGCTACCGATACATACCTATTAGAATTACCAAAAAGGCTTACCAAGGGTTGGCAAGGGTATGAAAGAACTGGACCTCTGTACTTTGCTGTTGAGACTGTAAATAGTACAAGCGCTTTAAGAAATAGTATATTTCTTAAAATGTTAAATATAGACCTACCAGCTATTCTATACCGAGACACTGAAAACACTTCCATACGAATCTTTACAGCAGCTTTATTTGTAATAACTACTGAAATCTAGATGCTCATCAGTAGATGAATGGATAAATTATGATATGTCCATATTACTTAATAAAAAGGCCTGGACTGTTGATACACACAATACAGATGAATCTCAAAGTAACTTTGCTGAATGAAAGAAACCAGGCCCTTGGAAGCAAGTGGGTATGTTCACTGTCTTGATTGTGGAGGTTTTTTCATGGGTATTTACTATATTACTGTGCAGTTTATTGCATGCCACCTCTGAATAATTAAAGCTGTTTTTAAACAGTGATGCAGTGATCCTAATACAGATATGAATTGATAAAAAAGATTTACCAAAAACTGTTTTTATAACTTGTATCCTTACTGTGCCTTTCACATAATTATTTAAATACACACAAAGCAGAAGTCAGTTGTAACCTTTTTCTTAGAAACAATAAAGAAATAAGGGACTTCTGGGTGCCTCAGTTGGTTAAGCATCTGACTTCAGCTCAAGTCATGATCTCATGGTTCATGAGTTCGAACCCTGTGTCGGGCTCTGTGCTGACAGCTACGAGCCTGGAGCCTGCTTCGAATTCTGTGTCTCCCTGTCCCCAACCCCCACTTGCACTCTGTCTCTCAAAAATGAATAAACGTTAAAAAAAATTAAAAATAATCAAGAAATTTAATTTATTTGAAGCAGTGGTTCTTAACTGAGGTGATTTTTTGCCACCCCACCCCACCCTGTGACATTTTGTAGTATCTGGAGACATTTGATTGCCAAATCTATTAATGGCATTTAGTGGATAGAGGCCACAGATGCTACCAAACAGCCTACACTGCACAACACAGTCCCTCTCAACAAAGAATTATCTGGCCTCAAATGTCAATAGTGCTGGGGTTGAGAAACCCTAATTTAGAGTATATAAGTCAATGTAACCACTTATTTTAATCCTGTGTTATTATACATTTCTGTGTTGAATGTATTACTGGCAAAACAGATTGCTGAACAAAAATCTTTGGAGAAAATAGTCTTATAATTTTGGGAATGTGTGGATAGTGTATTTATGAGACTCTTTCATTTTTTAAGTAATTATTTTTGTGTAGCTACCTGGAGTTGATCTGTTTGGATATATTGCAGTATTTGTTTTCATATCATTTGAAAAAAATGTTAAAACATCACTACCACCATGCACATAATTTCCCAAAGTAGTCTGGTAGAGGTTCCCAGTAGATCCTAATTTTGATTGATTTAGTTTTGTATTTTGAAATTATTAGTAGCCACATGAAATATGAAATTTAGATTTAAGATTTATTAATTTAAAATGCCTGTCTAGACACCTTTTTGCCCAAAGTACACAAATAGACCAAGACCCTTGTCCAGATCAGATATTTCAGTAGTTTTACATAATACTTGAATCTTAGTATTTTCTTCCTTTTACATCTTTACAGTATTTCATCCCAAGGGAGGGAGAAGTCAGGTTTGAGTGGAAGAATGAGGGCTAAGGACCAGGATTTGGATTGGGTTGAGAACATTGGCTCTTAATATGTTCCTTGTGTGGAGTGTTAGTTTTCTAGTAGATTTGTTCTTAGATTTTGTATATTTGATTTGATTAGGAATAATTTGCTGCTACTACAGATATCTCTATCTGCAGCTGTCTAGAAGGACTAATGTTACATGGCTGAATTTGGTCTGTGTACGGCCTTGCTCTGCATACCCTCATCTGAGGAGTGCTTTCTGAAGTAGAATCTGCCCTGGGTATTGTTCTAGATCAGGGATCAGCAGACTTTTTGTAGAGACCCAGATCTTCAGACTGTTTTTGCAGGCCTTACATATAGTCTCTGTTGCAACTATTCTGGCCTGCCTTTGTGGGGTGACAGGAACCATAAAGATACGTAGATCATACATATACATACATACATAAATGAATGAGTGTGGCCGTGTTTCAGTAAAACAATTTTAATTTACAAAAACAGAGCTGGATTCAGCTTGTGGCCATAGTTTGCAAACCCTTATTCTAGACCATCAGTATTTCGTTTTTGGGACATTTGGCATTTTCTGGCTAGTTTCCCAGTGGTAGCTGGTTGCAAATGGAGGAAGGTGGTACCCTTTCACTTGCACCTGCTCTTTTGAACTTCATGGCTTTTGTGGATGAGGGTATAGAATAAGTGAATGACATGAAAAAGTATGACACGAAAAAGGGAAAAGTAGAGTGATAAGCCATGCTTACTTTCTTTTTCACTCACAGCCCATTTGCAGATGGTCATCAAATTCAGCAAGTTTACTTTTGAAAATTCTATGGAATTATGTTTTTAAAAATACATTTGTTATCTTCTGGCTGAAGTAGGGCAATAATTGATGTTTCTGCTTTTAAGGTTCTCTCTCTAACCCACTAGCCTCGACACATATTGCCAGTTCCTTTTCTAAAATAAAAGTGTTATGGCATACATCTCTGTCTGTAATTAAATAGTAACTCCCAGTCACCCAGAATAGTGATTCTTAACCACTTTTTATTCCTGAGTTCCTTTGAAAATCATTGGATAGTTGTGGATCCAGGAAAATTAATTTTTGTGAGTGTTCATTACACAATTTTCATACTTTTGGGAAGTTGTGCATTTCATGGCCCTAGGATTTAATTCCTGGTCTCTTAGTTAAGAACTTTTGATTTAGAGAATAAAGTGCATGTTTCTTCCCATGTTCTTGTACATGCTTCATGATCTGTCTCCAGTCTGATTATCCATGTTCCCTCCATCCCCTCCCCCTTTCTCTCTCTCTCTCTTTCTCTTGTGTTTTTCCTGCAAAGAATTAACCGGTATTCTCCTGCCATGCCAGTTTCTTCCATTCCGCTGTCTTGGCAAGTATTATTTTCTCTTGCCAGGAATGTCCTTACTACTTCCCCTCCATCTGCCCAGTTTCTACTCCTTAAAACTCATTTCAAGTAGTAGATTCTTAGTGAAGAGTTCCCTGACATTTCCTTTTTGTCAGCCATAAATAAGTATGAAGGAATTGTAGCCACAGACATATAGGGATAGGGGTGGGATGGGGAGGAGAATGGAAGGAGGAAAATTTCTAGGAAAGATTTCTTTGCTCTTTTTTTTTTTTAAATATTTATTTATTTTGAGAGAGGGGGAGAGAGAGAATCCCAGGCAGAGTCTGTGCAGAGCCCGAAACAGGGCTTGATCTCACAAACCACAAGAACATGACCTGAGCCAAGATCAAGAGTTGGATGCTTAACCAACTGAGCCACCAGGTGCCCCAAGATTTCTTTGCTCTTAAGAGATATCCCTCTTCTTAACCTCCTTGAGCCTCAGTTTTCTAAGTTGAGTATAATAATATTTTTCTTGGGCTGTTAAATGAAGAGCAGTGTTCCAATCTCTACAGTACTTCTATAATTATACAGGAAATTCTCTTTTTCTGGTCAGTGTGTGGCCTCAGGAACATATTGCAGGAGTAAACATCTTCAGAGACCCACTTCTTTCGGTTCTGAATAAAACATCCTAACGGAAAACTATATTGTAAATTTACTAAAACAAGATTTCATGAAATCCTGCTGAAATTATTTTAAGGTGTGTGTGTGAGACACA